TGACCTCATTCCTCTTTTCCCAGTCCAGGTTGTCATAGACCTCCTGGTTTGAAGGCATAAGGTAGAAGTTCTGTCTCATTCCTGAGAACTCTGCTAGGGAATGCCCAGGAGACATAAAGCAGCTATATGAAGCATATCCACATAAGATTTATATCAGAAGTATAAGGTTGAAATGGGTATTGCTTTTGGCTGAAATGTAACTACTAAAACAGTATTTTTTTATTTTTAATGAGACCTGCAATGGAGACTGGGCTAGCCTAAAGCATCTGTCTCTATGCTCCTGTCTTTGGAAGAGGGAAAAAGTCATGTTAGAACTGTTAGTGTAAAGTTTGTATTTGAAGGGGAGAATCTACATTTTCTATGCTGCTGAAAATCGCCCCTGGAAGAAAAAAAAACCAACATTAAAAAAAAAAAGCAGAGAAATGAAATCAAAACTACAGAGTCCCAGGAAATGAGGAGCTGCTGTCGCTCAAACATTATTAAAACCACCCATCTTAATTCCCTGAATTCTAGTCATCACTCAGCATTTCACTTGCAGCTAAGAAGAGATCAGAGATATGACACTCGTATATTACTTCCCACCAGGCACTATGTGTAAGTAAAAGCATCAGCTTCCCTTTGCTCTTCTGAGTGGATTGCAGTCAGTGGGAGTTTTGCTTTAAGCACAGCCTGCCTGCGAAAGGGCAACTTTCACTGAAGAACTTTCCCTTTCTTGTATTTTTCTTTTAAATATAGTGGAAACTTCCCACTTTGAGGTAGATAACATTACACAAAGAACCTAAAGAAACAGTTAGCACTGAGAAACTGAAAATGTTACCTATTATTTGATCAATATTTCCTACTGCTGCCATCAAATTGGACTGCCAGGGATCCAGGGATTTCTAAGAGACATGTCAAGACCCTGAAATGCTTTTCATTCTCTTAAATGGAGAGATAGAAAAGGGGCCTCCTTCATTCTTTGTGGGATTGGTTGTCACATTCACACTGGAGGGAGAAGTAGGAACTATAGCTACTATTTTCTAATTGCTTCTACCTAAAATGTCTATCTAAATGGTTGGGTGACAGGAGGGACCTCCTTGAGGAGTTCTCAAGAGGAATTCCAACGGATAGGCTGGTGCTGATGGAACTGTTGGGAATGGGATCCTGCCACTGGCAAAGCACTGGGAAGGAAGGTCTGGCACTGCAGAGGCCAAGCAGCCGGCTCCCTCCCGGCGGCAAGCGAAGGGCAGGGTGACACCCACCTGTGTCTGTGGCTTCGAGTGCCCACCAAGGACAGGTAACCGCAGAGAGGATGAGTTCTTCTCTGAAAGGGTGTGGAGGACCTGGAAGGACACTGCTGCCACCTGCTGCGCCATGTTGCTTTTAGACAAGCAAACCCAAGCCCTGAACAACGCTGCTGCCCAGAGCTCCTGTTTTCCCGTTGGATTCGCCTGCGAGGGTTAGAAAACGATGAGTTCCCCTCCAGGTTCTAGAGTCATCTCGCGGCGGCGATCCCACGTGCTCTGCTTACCATCCAGAAGTATTTCACAAGGTATGGTGAAGAGCACAGAACCCGTCCAGCCCAAGGGAGCGCAGCGAAATGGCTTCCTACACGCTGCTCGTGGTTGGCAACGTCACCGGGCACCTGCAGCCTTGACCTCCACTGCTGGACTTCGCCTGCGGTCTGGAGCACGTGGCTGAGAAGCTAAGGATGGAGATCTGTGTTAGGGATCCTACACCCTATGGCCTGACCCCCAAACAGAATTAAATGTTTAACTTGCTTGTCTTTTGATTATTTTTAAATCCAAAGCTATTGAATATTTCCCCAGTTTCATTTTTCAGAATTATGGCTCCACGAAAAAGCTTTTCACTCCTCTGTAGAAGGCAGTTCGTTTAAAAGTGTTCCAGTTGCATGTGCAAAACTGAAATCCCACTTTCAAACCAACTCTCTGTAAGATTGCTTCTAGTCTGAAAAGTGATTGAAAAAGTGGCATCTTTTTTGCTCATGTGACCACTTTTCCACGATTTCTTGAGACCAGAGGGTTATTGAAGTACTCCAAGCTCCTCTGCCCACCGTATTTAAACAATGTGGCACAAGCAAAGCGAAACAAAGCTGAGAATAGCTACTCAGCACTGCAGATCATTAACACTCTTCTCTAGATGACTCAACTGCATCTCTGAAGAAGTGAAAACACAATGGAGTTAAAGAACATTTTGCAGGGACTTGTGCTGTGACAGGTTCTCGGTGGTTTGGTCTGTGATTCAGATTACAGGTGTGCACCTTTTACTGTTGACCGCTTGTGAAGAATGGAGTAAATGTAAAGAATGTGAAGAATGGAGTGCGTGCAATAGTGTACTTGGTGTACCTGCACACTTGATGGTAACTGCTGAAGAGAAATTGATGTAAAATTTAATTGCGATTGATGTGAGATTTATTGCGGCCTGCAGTGGAAGGCAACAACCGTCAGACGGTAGAGTCTGAGGACTGTCTCAGAGCTTGGCACTCTGAAGAATGCTGACCATTAGTACTGTAATTATGTTAATCTTATAATTCAGGCGTGTAACAAAGGGTGATTACAATGTACAGGAATAATTGTTCTGCCAGTAACATGAACACCGCTTGAATAACTTATTGGTGACATGAAGCTGTACACTTCAGAAAATAAACATACAGAAGCCATACGTCTTGGCATTGATCTGGATAACAGGAACGCTAACATACAGTTGGCTAGGTCGCTGTATCTGAAGCACAGCAGACATCCGATTTTGCTGCAATGCCATAACATTCCCAGTAAGCACATACAAGACACCTGGACCCCACCGCTTCAAACCTCCCAAGGAATAAACACAGAAGTATCTTCACAGAAGCTCTGTCCCAGCACAGGCTCGCATGGAAGCTAGACGCCTGTGATAGCTCTCCTCTCTTGCTAAAACACGTGTGTAAGGAACAGCAGCAGATGCAGAGAAGTTTTCTTAACTGTGAAATAGCATATAACTGCTAGCAAACCTTGCGTCTTCCATCCCAGTCCCTAAGTTTCAAGAATGAGGCAAAGTTCAGGATGTGTTCACGTGCATTTACTATTAAATGTGTAAAATATCAACCTACACAACTTGCAGGATGAACAAGCAAAAAGAACAAAAGAATGACTTAGATGTGGAAAAACATTGAAACAGCTGTTTAAGTGCTCAACTTGTAACCACTTCATCAGTAAGCAAAGTGGTAAGGAGCAACCATGGCAAGTCTGCCACAGTCGAATTGAGTCAAACTAATTTAACCGTTTTCTTTGGCAGCGTCCCTGGGCTAGGAAGAAGTTCACAAACCAGTAGCAGGAAACGTAATGGGAGACACCAAACCAGAAAGCTGCTGGGGACACAGCAGTGACTACAAGTAGGTAGTGGCAACTGCGACAAGGGTAGAGATTTGGAGCACTGCTCAGAGGGCTTCAAGCAGGTAACATGGAAAGAACGAACAGACTGAATCTCTGTCTGGTGGCAGCCACTCTGTCAGGTCACCACTGCTGGTCTTCTCCCGCCCAAAGTCTAGAGTGTGAGATGCTCGTAAGCAGCAGCATAGCGTGCTGTGATCCATTTGAATCACAGCACGTTAAGAAAGTTGCTGCTAAACAAATGCTTTAATGTTCAAAGAAATGTAAAGAAAGATTAAAATACACCAGGAAGGTTCAGTCTACGAATGAGAGAGTAGATGAGGACAGTCTTCAGATACATGATAGACTGACATAAAAAGAATGGCGATGAGTTATTCTCCAGGTCATTGGCTTGGCCCTTTTAGGCTAATACAGTATGTTTGAGGACTAACTAGAATAACAATGAAATGCTGCAGGAAGCAACTAAGCTGTGGAATCTGCCATGTGGGAGGCTTCTGAACAACAGGGGGACAAACACTGGTGAAGAGATATCCAGACATACTTCACGTGCTTCAGAAAAAGGGAAATTGAATAAATGGCTTCTACACTTTCCTTACAATCGTGTGTTTGATTCTACAGTTAGTATGAATAACACTTCAGCTTGCATGGAGTCACAACATTTTTTAAAGTTAAACTTACAGGAAGAAAAAATAATTAAAATCAACCAGATAGATTTGCAGCTTAAATATGGTAAAATAATTCAAATAACTTGATATTTACGTGTCAACATTGCTATCCCATGTTGTCAACCACCAAAATCTTCTTCACTTTGAGGGTGATGGAGCCCTGGAACAGGCTGCCCAGGGAGGTTGTGGAGTCTCCTTCTCTGGAGATATTCACGACCCCCCTGGACAAGGTCCTGTGCAGCCTGCTGTAGGAGACCCTGCTTTGGCAGGGGGGTTGGACTAGATGACCCACAGAGGTCCCTTCCAACCGCGACCATTCTGTGATTCTGTGAAAACCAGCAGAAGAAATTTAACTGCTATTTCCATACTTTTTCTGAAGAGAAAGCGGTTACTAATAAACTAACAGCAAAATAATTTGCTTTATTGCTAGTGATTTTACATTACAATTTAGACTAAGGTCTATTTGTATATTAGTCTTTAAAGGGAACCAAAAGAAAACACATACTAAAACCAAATAAACAAACAAAACCAAAACACTAGAATTACTAATGACAGTATATAATAATTCTCAAAAATTCTAGTATTTTATAACTGACTTCCTGAACATTGTAATTCCAAACCAAAGTATTTTATTTCCACTTGTCATCAAAATACCTATGTGTTTTCAGATTAGAGTGAAACCTCACAGAGGAACAAAAGGTTAAACACTGCATATGACTTATTTTACAATTAGTGTTCAGATGCTTATTGGGTTCTGGAGGCAATTTGCTAGAGTCATAGATATAAAAATATAGAATCATCTTTATTAATAAGGTATGTATTTGCTCGGATCAGGTTTCTTGGGACACAGTCTTCTATTTGGATTTCAGCCTGGCCAGCCACCTTATCTGTTCTTCTTCTTGTCAGAGTAGTTTAGCTGCTATCTGTTAAATGTTATAGAATCATCTTTATTAATGAGGTATGCATTTGTTCAGATCAGGTTTCTTGGGATACAGCCTTCTATTTGGATTTCAGCTGGCCAGCCACCGTATCTGTTCTTCTTCTTGTCAGAGTGGTTTATCTGTTAAAAAAAAAACCCAAAACAAACAAAAAAACCCAGTCACAACAATATTTGGTTCATTGTTTACAAACTAGTTTGTCAACCCTCACACAACAGAAGGGGGTAATGGGCTAGGACTGGGAAGCTAAGCAGCACGTTGCACATTTTGCTCAATGTAATTGGTGAAGATTCCACCATTTTCTCTCTTACACAGAATGGCTGCCATAAAATACACTAAATTGAATACCTTTTTGCTGCAGAAGCTCTGTAGTGTGAAGAAGATTGCAACAATATTCCGGGAAAAAAACAACTATGGAAGTGTCACATGCCTTTGGAGGGAGTCAGTATCACCACGGGAACTGACCTCCGGATTGGGTTTTCTCATTTCTGTCTGCCTCTCTGTTATAAAGATGAGCACTACTGGGCTTATAGAAAACGAATACAGCAAGGTCACAGATCCAAACAGAAATCTGACATAAAAATGGTATCTTTAGTCCTCCTGAAGCCTCGGGGCAAATTACTCAGGAAAGTTTTGTGATGCAAGCATTGCTGTATGTGCACGACCAACTTGAGTGAGACAGCCCAATTTCATATAAAAACAGTCTTTATTTTTGTGCAGTCCTTGGAATTCATCCTGCCAGAAGAAAATGTAAGTCTCTGTACAGCGTGTCAGGTTGGACATTTCAAAACCGAGACTCTCTAGCATCGCTGGTCACCTCTGAAATCTGTCTACAGATGATTTAGTGCTGGTGTGGTAGAAGTCAGCACTGTACATGGCCCAGGTCCAAAGCAAAGAATTAGAGTAACTTGCTTTGTATGACTCAGGATTACCAAACAGACTACAGTTATTACAGCAAACCCACAAAATCTGCACCTGAAGGTTATACCTGATACACAGACAAACAGAAAGTGAAAACAAAATGAAGCTGACCTTTTCTTTTTGCATAGTGTCTGGCAGCTTGAAGCCTTTGGCAGCTATAAAAGCCCAGCTTGACCTGAACTTGATATTCTGTATTTCTTTACTTCCCAGCTCTTCTACTAATTTTTTGGTGTCATTCTTCAACCTAGGAAAATTCAGTGAAAAAAAGCATTAAAAATTCAGGACTTGAAAAGTGCTGAAAAAGAACACAGCTGATTCATGCTTTACATTAGTAGGTCAGCTGAAGCAACCATGTGAAGTTTAAAAAGTTCTGAGAGCTGTCTTAGTAGCATGCCATTAAACTCACAGAGCAAAATGCTTTTTCTTCCTCCTCTCTACATTCCTGTTGTTAATACAACCTGTTTATAACAGCATATCAGGAAGAAAAATGTATCTAAAGTACTATTTGATGTTTCAGCCCTTCTTAAATAAGGACAATGGCATCAAATGTTTATCAATCAAATGATTAAGTCTTTCCCTTTGTAATTACCACATCAGGAATTCAAATAAAAAAACCCCCTAATATTTGAAAGCACTTGAAGAATCGGGTTAAGATGTAAGGAGGAATGCAAACTAGATACTTTATAATTGGAGGTGTGGGTACCTTCTTAATGGAAGATTGTGACCCAGAGGTAACAGCAGTGCCCTTCATGAGGACACTCAGTGCTTTTAAACAAATGTAACACTATCTGTCCTTCTTTCGAAGCACCAACAATACACCATCCCGGGCAAGCACTGAATGGACATGGAATCAAAGCCTTTTAGGTAGGCAATGAGAGAACAACCCTGGCTATAGAGGGGAATTTACCATTCCTTTACACCATTACGCAGTAGTGATTTTCAAGCTATTCATTGCTCTGTTCCTCAGCCTGTCACGAATAACTTGCTTACCGGGTGCTTCCATCATCATGAGTCACCATCAAAAGGAGGGACCGTTCTGGTGCATTTTTAATGAAAGTCATCATCTCTCCCGAGTGGTCTGTTGAATCAATTACACAACTGATTATCCATTACACACATACCACGTTCCACCTACTTCTTGGTGCAGAAAGCTGCTAGCTCTCCCTGAAGGCTAGGAGAGCATGGGTTGATCTGCGTTTCCCAGTAGTAAACAAAGATACTTCCAAACTTCTAAAAAAGCCATTTACACCAAGAGAAGTATCTAGATGGTTTCTTATGTTTACCTCACATAATATTGTACATGCAAGCAAGGCATGCAACAGCCCGGGAGAAGTCATTGATATTCTGTGAGCTTCCAACTACCATGCTAACTGCAGAGCTGAGTTACACACCCCACTGTACACCCACTTTCAGTAAGTGGCAGCCTATTTGCAGCACTAAGCTATTTATTAGTTTTGCAGTTGCTAAACATACACAAGACACTTGTTTTCCATACACACACAAAAAAAAAAGGCAACAGAAGCCCTGGAGACATTACAGTGTAGGTACTGTATATAAAATTGTAGCCTCATGATTGGCCTCAGTGTGATTTCTATTCATACATGTGAGGTCACAACCATTCTTAAGTGGTCATAGAACCAGCTTCCAGTGCCTTATAGCATTCTATTTCTCCTTACCAATAGGTAAGGAAACTGTTGCCATTCAAAGTTTGGAAAATGTGTTAAAAGCTATTCTTAAAGCAGACCATCTTTCTAGCTACGTGAAGGCATGTTAAGAGATAGACTAGCATATTTCCTATGATGATTTTGCAACTAAAATAGAACAAAATATGCCAGGAAAATGAATTTTCCTGAGTGAAGTATCTGGGTGTGGTACCTGGTTAAGTGGTACTCCTACCAGACTGAAATAATGAAGAATAAAAGACAATTAAAAAATGACAATTTGACAATTAAAAAAAAAAAGATAACAAGACAATAAAAAAAGCGCAATTAACTATACCCACCAACAGGAGAAATTCAGCTTTTCAGGCAAAATTTGTCATCAGATGTGACCAGAGCATATTTTATGAAAACAACAACTGTTTGTTTCTAGCTAATCCCCTTCGATAATACAGTCATGGCCATTTGAAAGAGCAGGATAATTATATAAAGACAAGTCCTTTCTTGACGCTGAAACACGAAGAAAAGCTCTGTCGAACTCTTTTTCTTACCTCCTTCCCACATGTCAAAATATTTTGCCGATGTAACTTTTCCTGTTTCATCTGTAATTAAAAAAATAGTTGTGAACATATAAGCAAAAATTTTTAGATTCAATCAGCATATACAGCATTTTCAGCTAAAGCTCGGCATCTCTAATTTTGTGTATCACTGTGCTTCTGAGTTTTCTTTTGTTTAAGTTTTTAAATTTGAAGGAATATAGAACAACATAAATTTAAGATTTGGGGAGAATATTTTGTTTCATGTAGTCTCTGAATCATCAGATGTGACTAAAACTTATTTAATACTTTTTATTTTAAAGAAGGAATTCAATTTACTTTGTACTTCCATGTTACTATATATACATATACTATACTAGGTCACAACCATAAATAGGAAAATTGATTAAGCCTAAGACTATTTGAATGAGCTTCATACTACTCTGCACAGTGTTTCAGATGGGCAAGCTTTCATACCATTTGAATCTCAGTGGACAGAAACTCAACACTCATCACTACCATATCAGAAAATGGGCATGCAAACAATTATTCATTCCAAAACATTTTGGTCAATTCTAATCATTAATTATGCTGCTCTTTGGATGGCTATCTTTATTTAAACAAGACATGTACAATTGGAAAATCTTTTCAAATTTCTAAATCCATGCAAACTGAGTTAATTGATTTTCATTATGCAAGACCCACATCCCTGCTACATGAGAGGGTCTTTTCCATTTAGAGTGCATCTGTTCATTTCTAGTGAGAAGATGCAGCAGTTCCTGATTACTTTCTGGCTTATCTTTGATCATCATCACACTGATGAGGGGAAAAGGTGGCAAAAAAAGGTCAGTGGTAAAACAGCATTCTAGAGCTGGGTTTCTTCTGAGCAGAGATCACAAAATTTGTCGAGATAATGGACAGATTTACCTGCAGATGGAGATGCAAATGTAGCTAAAATGACTATATGTGTGATGCAGGAAATGGTTGTTTAAAAACGTGTAAGATTTGACACATCACTTCTTTTTCCTCACTAATGTCAGATGCAAAAACAAAGCTAGTTCCCTACTCCTATTTGCTGTAATCTTACTTATGCATTCAGGATGTGTATTTGCCCTCTTACTCTACAGCTCTATGCTGAAAACTTATTTTTAACTGTTTATCTATTATAACCAGTAAAGTTTTTTTGATTACTTACTGGGGGAAAAAAAAAAAAGCAGTAGTTAACTGAGAAAAAAACCTTTTGGAATAGATTCTTGTCTATGGTAATTTAACTCAGTGACTTCAATAAAATCATGAAAGTTTAGAGAAGGTCAAGATCTTGCTTACCAATACTGAGACAAAAAAATCTGGAACAGAAGTGTTCTGTGATCAAAACCAACTTGGCCATGCATCTGGATCCCTTTTCTCCCCCCCCGTCCCCCTGACATTTAGGCATTCATTTCTCTCGGGATCCATTATTGAATACACTGCACTTCATCACCACTCCCATTCATCTAAATTAAAATGGTGCCTCCAGATCTGGAATAAACTGCACCTTCTGCTTTCCAATAGCTCCTAAGATAAGCAAAGACATATACTGACAGTTTAACATTAATCAGGCTTTGAGTTTGTCTTTCTGTCTGCTGACCAAGTCTGGAAAAAGAATTTGTACCTTGGGACAGAACTGCAGTTCTCAGTTACTGCTTGCCCCTTATCAGTGGAGCAGTAGATGTATCAAGGGCTGAACCAGAAAGCTGAGTCTTACTGCTGGAGATCATGGATATTTTTTGCTACTTTACATAAGAAGCAGTTCTTTTATCTAAGAAAACACACATATATCTCTTCTATGCACACATTTTCTATGTTCCTATACTGATTATGAACACGTTTCTTTTGTTTGTGTAGAAGACTATTTCTCTCAAACACATTTGTTTTTCTTACATTTGACATGAACCAAGTTTGCAATTTTTTCCTTTGTCTTTCCTTCCATGCTAGCTAGTAAAAAGCTCCCCAAATACCACCCCCCCCCAAGAACCTTTGTAAATTATTGCAGTACAAATGTAAGTCTCTCTCTAACTTTATTTCTCTTACTTACAATTCACAATGGCAATGTTTATACCTCTTCCAACATTACCCTTCTCTTCGCTTATAAGCCTGGAATCGAAATAAATACAGTTATCAGTAGAACGCATCTGTCCACAAGCTCTGAACCAAAGTTATATTTACCAATGCTAAGTCACTTTCTGATGTTCATGTTTTCTTCAGGTATTTAATTCAAGACTTTGTAGGAAACAAGCGGTATGGCTTAAAAATCTTGCACATTATATCAGTCAGTTTCCTTCAACAACGCACAATGAATCTTTCAAAATGAGTCAGGTCAAGAAAGTACTTTGTACAAATGCAGCCAAAAAGATAAAGTAGAAAAAAAAGAAACAAGACAAAATGTGGTTTTGTGGCAGTATTCTGTGTAGACTATATCTACACAAAAGATCATTGGAAGGTTTTAAAGTCACTCCACCTGACCAGTTTCAAAAGCCATGAAAGAACCTGAGTTTCAGAGGAGTTGACGATTCAACATACCATGAACTATTGGCTAGTCCAAACCATGAAGATTAAAAATCATACTTGAAACTAACATTGAATGCATCTTATGTAGAGGAACAACGAAAATAACCTGAGATAAAAAAAAAGTGGGGGGGATTGAAAAAAAACCAAACAACAAAACAAGGGGGTGGGAAGGAGAGTTAAATACGGTCAGATACATTCTGAGGTTTATCACCAGAACAGGAGCCCCCTGGTAAGAGCTTACTCACTGCTAGAGAACCAAAATGAAACATCCTTTCTCACACTACAAAGCACTTGCTTAGATTTAGAGTTCAGCTGATACTCACAGCTCATCCTCGAAACAAATTTTAGCCAGCTTTTCTTTGCCACCACCACTAAGAATCCGATAGGCGTAGCTCCCAGGTAGGCAGGGAGACCAGTGATCACACTTCTGCCTTTTTGGGACTGGGGCTACAACAACAAAGATGAAAAATGTTTTCTTGGATGCTGCATAAACAATTTCTACATGGAAAGAATCACTTAATGTCAACATGCTAAGCTCAACCATATATATATACAGAAGCCAATCCTGCCAGTTTTCCAGTATCATGGCAACATTATCACAGATTTGCCTGGGCTTTAAATTATCATTGACTTTCAAACAGCTGCTGGGACCAAGAGCAAGCTTATGTAGGCAAAAATGCCCTGTATAGTATGATCTGATTTGAATCTAGAGTAATTATTTTGTGCAGTTTTGTATAATAGCAAACAAGGGCTAGAGGGATAAAGGTTTCCTACCAATAGCTTGAAGCTAATAGTTATCATTCTCATTTTAAGCCTTTTTCACATGATAACATAGTCATAGACTGAGAAGAATGTACATATGAAGCCACTCAGTCAGATTAGAGGGGAAAAAATAATTACAATTTAATCACAAAGTTTGGTTAGTGATTCAACATTTACAATGACTGTAAAATAACATATGATAGAACCAAAGCTGTAGCTTTGTGCTTATATGTCAGCAAACAAACAAGGTGTTCTTACATTACTATTCAATTAATTGTATTTGCATACTGGCAAATATAGGCTGATGTGCTTTCTTCAAAGATAGTATCTAAGAAATGGTTCAGACTTGCACTAATTCATTAATTTTACGCACGCAACTTTGTTCTTACGCTAGCACGTACCAAATAATTTATTAGCTAACAAACCGTTTGTCATTTACCATGTAAATACACAACATTAAATATTGTATAAGGAAAAAAAAAGAAATACAACTACATACCCCTCAACACTGGTTTCTTTCCAATGTCTTGAAGATTAGCAATAGAAGTTGTTATTGTCTCTTCGGATATAAGAGCAGCGACGAAGTATCCCAAGTACCAAGCAGCCAACGGTGTTATCAGGAGCCCGGCCAATTTCACAAGGTCTGCGCAGGGAAAAAAAAAAAAAGAAAAGAAAACCACAGAAACATTAAGATGTTTTCACAGCAACACACAAAGCCTTGAATTTTCTCTGACATTGCTACACAAACTGGCTATTTTATTTCTGATATACTGTGTTAACCACAGTATTCAGAGATGCAGTAATAGAGTGTTTGTCCCACTCCCAGCTCTGACAACCCCTTTCTTTTCTAAAACTTTTATCTTCAAACAGAACCCCTCCCCAAGACTCCCCTCGATCCACACCCATAATACCATGAAGAAACATGAAGTTCAACTTTACCCTAAATTTTGACTCTAAAAAGTAAGTATCAAATACTACACATGACTATCCAGGTAGTATGCAGTTACTGGTGATTTTCTGTGATAAGCACACACTACAGGAACAGTTTAAAACACTGACCATACAGAAAACTCCCTCCCTCCACCCTTTTAACACACTGAGTAGAAATAACTGAAGAAAGCCCAAATAATCTCATTCACACAATGAGTTCTGACAGCATTCAAACACGACAAGAGTGACTGTTTCACCTTCTCTCAGTTATATCACAATTTCTATGGCCTGTATTAGCAGCACATCTACACACTACAAAAACAACAGGATTCACAATTTTCCTGACTATGAAGAAATACAAATAAATTCCATATTGGATATCTCCTCTTCCTTATCATCAGAAATGCAAACATGCATTCTTGATCTAGAAGAAATGCACCACCTAATTTATGATGTTAAAAAAGGAAATGTCACACTGCAGTTGTGATGTTTTGATGTCACGAGATACTTCCTGTTCTGTAAAGAAGCATGTCCTTGAATATGACAGTCCATTCAGGTGAAAAAGCAAAATTTTTTGTTTCATAGTCCTGAAAATCAAGTTCAACAGAACCAACGTCCAAAAATATCCAATATGCTCACTTTGCCAAGCTGCTAGGAAATACTGTGTATTATCTAGCCTAAATCTTCCTTGCAACAGTTCACACTCAAGAAGATATTCCTTTCCTTCTTGGAACTGCCTTCTATAAATGTTAAGATTTCTGCCCTACCCCTTCTCTAGAATAAGGCCAAATAGTTCACTTGCTCTCATCAAGTCCTGTTTTGCAGGCCCTACTGCTCTCCCGTGAATTCTGCCCAATTGCCCTGCGTCTTTTACGGCAGAACAGACACAGTAGTCCTACACCCACATTCTGGAGGCTCTACTTCTGGTTAGTCATGCCAGAAGGAAGTTCGACTTTTTTTTCTTAAGAGCAGTTTTTATTGACTCAGGTTCCATCTATAACCCACCACAAGGAGGAGATTTTTTTTTCCTGTAAAGATTTTACCTCTCTAGCTATTGCCTGTCCCATATTTGTGCATGTGGTTATTCCTGCATTCTACCTAGCTTTAAAAACAAAAAGCATAACAAAACACTTCAGAAAACACAGACTGGTAAAGCTAACACTGAATAGTACTATCATCTGAACTCCCCCTTCTCTACAACAGCAACAGAAGGAGCAAGTGGCCCTCTCTGACCCAGTCATCCTTAACAACTGAAGCACAGCTGTATGCCAGCCCTTGAACCTCAGTGAGGAAGAATGCAGATCACTATGAACATTGAAGGTTTTGCTCTAAATAACCCCAGTTTCCCATTTCCTGCATCGGGGGGGGGAAGAGAATAAAAAGAGAGGACAGTAAACCCTTTTAAGATACTGATCTGAGCTCTTAAAGTGTTCTGTGTCATTGCATGTAGGAGTCTTAAGTGCGTGTGTTTCTCTGACCGTAAGGAAGACACTGTGAAAAACTTACTATATTTTCATCAAAGGACTAATATTGAGAAGGTAATATAATGAATCTTCAGAGATGTAACAGATATCCCAGTGATGACTTCAGTCTAAGAGAAATCTGTCTCACTGCCACTGGTAGTGGTGCAAAGATGTGCTAAAATAATACTGAAAAGTATTCCAACATTTAATTCACACAGTGAATGCCAACCTGAACATTGACAAAGTTCAAGTGTACAAAGAAGGAAGCTGCAGGAACCATGCAGAATGAAAGTTACTTTTTCTCTTTTTGAAAATTAAAAAAGTCAGATTTATACACAAAATATATTTAATTTGTAAAGGAGACCAATTCACAAGTTTCAAACACAAAATCCGGGAAGGGATAAGTGAAAACTACCAGTTTATTTAAAGATTTCAGTAATTATTTTTTGAGGGGTGGGATGCACTGTAAAGATCTGTGAGAGCATCAGTCAGGTTTTGTTTTGCTTTTTCTTTTGTTGGCTTAGCAGGTTTACCTTTACAATGGTTTTGCACTGTTTTTCATCAAAACTATGGAGCAACTCTGTTGCAAAACAGGCTCGGCAGCACAGCATTTTACCTAAGTAGAAGAGAAAGTATAGAGTATCTACCTTCTGCTACTATATTCCCTGCTTTACTTAAACCACACGCTTCTTAAAGGGTTCTAAAATGTGCCTTTAAAGGTTTAAGGAATACATTTACCAACTCCTCCCGCGCAGTTTGTACTTAATTCTCCGAACTGTCAGAAAACACTTTCACAGCCAACCAGCTCCTGGGCTGGCTTTCTCGGGCTCAGCAGGCACCGGGGCAGCGCACCGCAGCTCTCTGCCGGCTCCGCCTGGGCCTCTCGGGTTCGCCGAGGTTACGTACCCTGCGCACCTACACTCTTCTTCTGAGTACCTACAGAGACGCGCATAAAACCCTGCACAGCAACAGCTAAGCCATAAACTCGGACTAAATTAGGATAGTTAAGAGAGTTTAAGATTTGCTGTTCACAGCAGCTCGGAGTTATAAAACACAAAGCCCGGTCCATGTTCGAGAAAGCCAGAGGTTGCTCTTGCTGATTTTAGAGCTGATTTATGCCCCCCGACCGCCACACCTCGCTGACACACACCCTCCCGCACCACTTTAATGGCGGGGTCGAGTTTAAATTATTCCAACGGAGAGAGCCGGGTGCTCACCCGCTTTCGGATATTGGCCAGGGGCGAGCCGGGAGCAGC